GAGGCCAGTGGGGCGCGGCCGAAAGTAGAGGGAGCCCGGGCACCTCGAACCCAGGAGGCACCCGGTGGGCAGGGGCGGGGAGGAGGCGCGCGCGGGGACGGAGCCCGCACGCACCCCGACCGCGGGCGCGGAGATGGCCGCGCCCTCCCGGCAGCCCCCCCTCGGCGGGTCGGGGCTGCTCCGCGGGAGCCGGGCTCGTTCTTACGGAAGCCTCGCGCAGTCGGCCTGCTCCCCCGGGAGGGAAAGACGCCTGGAGCATCAGCTGGCGCCCGGAGACACCCTGGCCGGCCTGGCGCTCAGATACGGGGTGACGGTGAGTCTTCCGGGTGGGGTGCGGACCGCCAGGTAGAGGGCGACTCCGCGCCAGAAAGGAGGGGCCCTTCGAGCCAGCCTCCCCGAAACGTCCCTGATGCGCGGCGGGCCGGTCCGCCTCCGTCGGTTTGTCTGCCCGTCGCTGGGGACCAGCCCCGTCGGGCGCCCTCGCGGCTGACGCCAGTCACTGCCCGAGCTTCCCAGCCCCAGCCGTGCGCTCCCCGCGGCCCTGTCAGGCGGACACTTGCCATCACCTTCTTGCAGATGGAGAATCTGGGGCTGAGGTTGGTGAGCCACTTCGATTGCGGTCAGATTACTGATGCGCTTACGTGGGAATCAGGTGTGAAGCCAAAGCCGGTTCGTGATCACCACCTGCAGCTTTTTAATTGAGCCTGATTGAGTGTTTGCAGCACATAAGGGAGAATTGGTTTTCAGTTCTGAGTTCCTGAAGTGCCTGTCTTCTTTTTTCCCTCATTAGTCTGCTTGCTTTCAAGTAAGGTGACCTTTTGGTGCAAACCTGTACCCTCCGTGCCAAGGATTTCAGGGCAAGCATAGGGCACTTTTGACAGGTGTAAAATCATACTGCACTGAAGTTGTGAGTTTCAGGACCTCCCTGGTGGTGTAGGGTTCAGTGTCAGCGCCTCTCTGCCCAGGGAGTGACCCACATGGCACAGCAGACCTCGCCGGTCCCCCCGCTGACCCCCAGCAGTGTATCTGAGTAGAGCCGTCTGTTCTGCTCCCCACCCTGGCAGACCCTCTCACCCCTCCACCCACACCTCTGACTGCACCCCAGCTCTTGTATGCATAGATAAAAATAAAACTATATAAAAAGTAAAGTTGCGAGTTTCTTTCCCCCAATTTTAGCCAACATTTTTATGCTTGGGATGCTTAGAGCACGGTGGCGACCATTCGGGAGATAGAAACAAATTGTGTGATAGCGCTGCCATGAGCTGGTGAGGAATGAGCAGGGACTCAGGCGCTGACCGTGTGTGAGGACATGGTGACTGCAGAGGCCCTTCCCACAAAGGGTGGGCGTGAGAAAAGGCGAAGCTTCCCGGGACTTGGGAGCTGGTGAGGGGCGGGCGTCTGTACATTGTAAGGAGCCGCCCCTGCGGGCCTTGAAAGACGGACAGCTGCTGCTGCTGCTGTGTCCCTCTGCGACCTGCGTGGCGAGTTGTTTCTGTCTTTGCTGGCCAGCAGCCTCTGCGCCTCCTCCCCGCCCCTGTCCACCGGGTGCCGCCTGGGTTCGAGGGGCCCGGGCTCCCTCTACGTCTGCCTCTGTCGTGACCGGCATAGCCTCCAGCACATGGACGCTTAATCTCTAGCTAGGGGGCTTGGTTTTTTTTTTTAAGATTTAAAAAATTTTTATGTATATAAGAGCTGGGTGCAGGCCAGTGGTACGTGGTGGGGGTGAGAGGACTCCCCAGAAACAGTGGGGAGCAGAGCAGGTGGATCCACTGAAACACTGCGGGGAGCAGCGGGGAGCCAGGGGTGGTCTGCTGCGCCCTGGGGGTCCCTCCCCGGCTGGGACACACCCCGTGCTGCGGTGGCCACCGACAGCAAGGCAGTGCCGGGCCTTTCGCCTCTGCGCCGCGAGGAGGAGGTTGCCCTCCACCCGGCTCTATCCTGTTGAAAGCCCCTCACCTGGTGCTTCCGTGAAAGCAGCAGGGTGGTCACACATGCGTTCATCGCGTCTCGGACCTAGCTGGGGCCTAGGATGTCACACGGGCAGAATAAAACGACAGCGTCGAGACCCGTAGAGATGCAAAACAAGCGTTTGCAACCAGATTGGTCTGGTTTTCCCTTTATACAAGTTACAGCAAGAGGCTGCGGCCCTGCCTGGCTGGAAACAGCTCTGCTGCTTGACGGTGGGAGGTGGGAGGAGTCTGACGCTCCGGCTGGCTCCTGTCTGAGTTTGCAGTGACGCGCCCGCCCGCCCCAGCGTAAATTGCTGTTGATCTGTGTGCTGGTCCCGGGTTACTACCACTTTGGTCATCTGCAGCGCGCGCCTCTGACGGTGCAGAGAGACGCCTTCGGGACACAGGGACAGCCCGTCGCACTGCCCCCAGTGACAGCGGAGCGGCCCAGGGCCGGACGGCGGTGGCTCTGTGGGGTGCTGAGGCGATGAGCAGAGTGTTGAGGCAGCGAGGGGAGGGGGAGACGGCGCTGCAGGCCCGTCAGGCGGTTCCCAGGCCGGGAGAGGTCAGGCGTTCAGAGAAGAGTGCAAAGTCCAGCATGGCAAGGGGTCGGGAGACAGGAGAGGGAACTGGCCCTGGGCAGCCTGAGCGCCCTGAGCACCAGCTGGGATTCTGTGTCCGAGCCAGCAGGGAGCCGCGGGCGACTCGGAGCGTCTGGCTTAGAGCGTTGGTGAGCTGACCGGGTTTACCTCTTGAGGGGTGTCAGGTGAGACAAGCTGGGGTGGAGAAGGGCCGTCAGAAGCTTCCCACGGCCAGCGAGGCCTGTTGCGAGGCGGGCAGCGAGGCCTTTGCGGGCTTGCGCCGGGCGCGGTGCTGGGGTGGCTGTGGGGCCCGGTAACCGGGCAGTGAGTGACGACTGCCCGCGTAAAGCTCCACGAGCGGGCAAAGGCCAGAGCCGCAGCGCTGCTCCGCGCGGGCCTGCGGCGACCCAGCGAGACGCTTCCTGTCGGAGCGCCAACCCCGTCCTCTCCAGCAGGAGTTTTCAAAGCGAGGTCCAGGGTCCTTGGGGTCCTGGAGACTGCAGGGATCACTGTCTTCACAGTAATGGCAGGATTGTGGGGGCTCCTGGTGGCCGAGGGGCTAAGCCTCAGGCGCAGGGCCGTGGCCTGAGTTCCATCGCAGGCGCCCTGTCTCCCCCTGCTCCCCTCCCTCGGCAGTGGCTGTCAGTGGGGCCACCTGCTCTGCTCCCCACTCTGCCTCTGGGGAGTCCTCACCGCCCACACCTCTGGCCTGCATCCCCGTTCTATAAATACATCTTTAAAAAAAAAAAGATAAAAGATACTCTTGTCAACATAATGGGCTTATTATTTTTAAGGTACTTATATATTTTTCCCGTTCTAATGGGTTATACCCATCTTGATCTAACCCATACACATAAACACTCTTCCTCAATAATTTTCAAAGATGCGACGCAGCGCTGACGCTAACCCGTGTGAGAGCCCTGACTGGCAGGCGGGGGAGGCGCAGCCGCTGTCGTTGCTGTCGGTGATTGTGGCTTTTTTTGAAGATGGAGCAGATCAAGCGAGCCAACCGCCTCTATACTAATGACTCCATCTTCCTGAAGAAAACCCTCCGCATCCCTGTGCTCACGGAGCCCGGGGACGTGTTCAGCGGTTTGGATTCTGAAGAAGAGGAAGAGCGAGAGGGGGCGCAGCCGGGGCAGGCTACGGTTTGCCCGCCGCCAGCCCGGGGGCAGCAGGCGCCGGGCGCAGGACCAGCCGTCGGCGAGGGGCGCCCCGGCCCCGGCCAGGGGGCCCCCACGCCCGCCCATGACCTCTCTGCCTCTGATTTCCTGAAGAAGCTCGACTCCCAGATCAGCCTGTCCAAGAAGGCCGCTGCCCAGAAGCTGGCACGCGGGGACGACGGGTGAGTCTGGCTCCTCGGAGGCCTCCCCCCTCCAGCGTGCCTGACCCCACGCACAAGTCGGGCAGACGGTCCCCAGAGCCACGGGGGCGGGGGGTGCCGTGTCTCACGGGGGCTCGGGTGCCTCTTACTACGCGGTGGTCCCCGAAGGAGCACGGGGGTCTGGACAGGAAGGAGGGCAGCCCGGCCCCGGGCCTCTCGGGCGCCCCGATGGCCACTCTTCCCCTCCACGCTCCCCTGCAGGGCACCTGTGGAAGACGCAGGCCCTCACCTGAGCTCTCCCCGGACGCAGCAGCGCGCAGTCCTCGGCCCCGTGCCTCTGACCCGGACCTCTCGGACCCGCACGCTTCGGGACCAGGAGGATGAAATCTTCAAACTCTGACGTCTCCAGAACGGATGGCGAGAAGCAAGATGCTGACGGA